ACCTAAAAAAATAAAATAAAATAAAAATAAAGAAGAAAAATAAAGAACATTGGATAAACTAGTCAGTCCAGATGCTGATGGAGACCGTGCAAGAATGTTGACAAATAAAAGTCAGATGCAGGAGCAAATTTCAAACCTCAGCATCCTTGCGCTCTTGCTGTTTTGTTTGAGAAAGGACCATGGATAATGCGCGCTTGCGCTCAATCTCTTGTGAAACATTGTATGGTTCCTACACAAAGGAAAAAACTTAAAATTACCAAGTAACAAAAATTGACCACTTAGATATGATAACCTAAGAGGAAATAACATCAAGTGAAATTGGGAAACTACAGAGTCATAAAGTAGTATGTCATTGTAAAAACTTTCATCATAATGCCATCAAACCTTAACAATAGGATGTCCAGAAACATCACCAGGAGATGAAGCCCTAGAAATCAAGATGGCACGAGAAGCTACACACAGAGATAGCCATATTAATCAAGACAACAATCAGAAGTTTAAACCTTATGATGACTATCACATGGTAAACGAATGATGGATTGAACCATTAATATCAAAATATGAAATGAACAACACGGCATAGAAACAAAGTGTAACCAACAGAAGATGGTTAAAATACCACTATAATAGCGATCCTTCAGTTGTTCCACAGTCCGAGATGATGGGAATCTATCAGCAATCACAACAAAGCGGAGATCAAACCGTTCACATAAGTCAAAGAGCTGATCAGTCTCTTCCTTGGTCCACATCTAACAAAGAACATACAAAGTGAGAAGATTTGTACTCATGAAACTATCAAAAGGGGGGCAAAGAGAGAATTAATACAAATTAATTGATCAAAAAGAACTTGAAATCCAAGAATGTATCTAAATTATTTAATAACTATCCCTGTTTGACCACAATCACATCTGATAAAGGGTGAAAATTTTGTGTAGGAATAAGGTTTGGCTAAAGAAAAGATGAAACGAGACGTGTAATGTGCGGTTAAGAATGCAGAATGGGCCATTTTGTGAGATTTGGTAAACCCTTCTTCAAAGAGGCCTTTATTCTGTAGAAAATTTCAACTGGCATCAGTGGTCAGAACAGACTAACCAGGATTTGGCAGCATAATTAATACTTTGCTTGTTGGTTTCCACATTAAATATGAGCTTATGCATATTCACTATATACAATCAAATACCAAGAACAAGACTATTGAAAGAATGGCGGGCTAAAGAAACATGTATCATAAGCACATAGTTGAATACTTCTTAAAAAATAAAAATAAAAATGAAAAACGCATCAAAATGGTTATTCCACATAACTATGTTAAAGACCCAAAAACATAAACAACGACTTGATGAAGTTGTTGAGTCAATTCATACTCGAAAGAAAATAAAAGAAAAAACTCCAACCACGAAAATAAGAGAGCAAAGAGAAACTATGACATATCAAATTTTCAAACACTTGGAACACTTGATGTATTGCCCCTTCACTTAAAACCATAATAATGCAAGTCAGAATGAAGTTATTCTTAGATATGCACAAACACACAAACTCAAATTAAGGACCTCTTCCTTTTTTCATGTTATTGACAAGAATATCATTTAAATACATATTTACAACACAATCAGAAGAAATTTTTTCAATCCCAGTGGCAACCAAATCAGAAAGAAGCAATATTAAGATGCTACCTACAGGATCAGTTAAATGTTTTTCATACTCCTCGTCCGTGTACTTGACAATGTCGACAGACTGCACCAGACAAAGTAGCATATTACATTACTGAAGTATCAAATGGAGAGGAATACAAAATAAACAATAGATTAATTCATCAGTAGGAAAAACAGAACAAGTTATAGAATATTACATGCAGATACGAGTGTATTTATTTATGTATACCTTGTTATATTTAGCAAAGGAATAGTCACCTGTAGGAGGAACAGCATTTACAACTCTGACCTGAGAAATATAAGAGCCACAAAAAAAGTTAATCAAATGCCTCACTGACTAATGATCCTTGGAAATGTACACAACACAGATAGAAAAACATACCCAGTGGTAAAGCTGCAAACTATCTTTTCGAGCTGAATTTGAAAAAGGAAGCCATTGCCAAGTAATCTGCAGGAAGAATCTAAGCTCTCTCATAAAGTAGAACCCAGAACTTAAAACACTGACATAACATGAAAAAGACAAACTTATAGTAAAGAAATGCCACCCAGACAATCAAAGGACAACACATAGTTATACCGCGTGTATATTCATTTCATTCAGTCTTTGCTCTACATGAGCTTATAGGAGATGCAAACCAACTTACTCATTTGAGGTGAACACATAAGTTTCTCCGCCACATGTTTATACATCAGAAAGATCAACTTGGTCTGATTTTCCAAAAGCGCGTTTAAGGAATCAAATTTGTACTAAGCTTGAAGAATGGAATGATGCAGAACCTAATGCTTCAAATATAAGCAATATAATAGTCACATATAAGAATACCCAACCTTAACAAAGCAACATTTAGTACTCTTAACACACAATACTGATTCGTTCTAAGCCCTAACTTCTCCTAAAACTTGTTTAAAACAAAAAACAAAAAAAAAGGACTAACAACCCAACTTGTTTTTATAATAATTCAACTAAATTTGAATATAGAGTAAGTTACACAATCACTAACTAACCTTCTCGTTCTCTGATTGAGTGCGCCTCTTCAGTTGAGCAACATCAATGGAAGGCATAAGAGGAGCCAAACCACCAGTAAGCGCATAAACCTGAAATTCGAAAACACCCCCAATCAAGAAAATTCGAAACAATTGAATGAAACGAGAGAGCAAAGTAGCGAAGTACCTCACGCGAAATGCCATCAGGTTTTCTTTGAGAATCTTTCTGGGGTCTGGACTTCTTTTCCTGGGGTAAAGGCAATGGAGTTTTGGGCAATCCCAAAATGTCCTTGGCATCCATATTCAAAATCCCTAAATTATTAGGGGTTTTATCTTTCACAGTCTTTCTCTTTTGGTCGTCAGATCAGAACATCAAAAACTAAGATTTCATCGCCAAGAACGCCACGCCGAACAATCAAAATCTTGAATTCCAAACGCACAAACAAAGAAATTACTAGGAATTGTTCGATCAATTTTTTTACGAACAAGGAAGGTGAGGGGTTTTTTTTTCGAGCGCCAAGTTCTGGTTTTCGAAGCAGAGCACATCGATCGGAAAACAAAAGGGAGCGGCTTTCGTCTAGTCCAAGATCCGACTGGACCGTGCTGTAAGCCCATCACGGGTCTCATTTTAATAATTTAAATCATTTAATATGTAAAACTTGTCGAGTGTTATATGTTTGTAAAAAATTACGTTGATCGGATATCGATAGCTATGTAAATAAAATAGTTTTTTATCAACCGTTAATTGTTTCACCGTCTATTTTTTTTATACAAAACTGATTTGATCACATAGCTATTGATATCCGATTTTTTACAAACATATAATACTCGATGAGTTCTACATATTGAACGGTTTAAATTATCAAAACGAGCCCAAAAAATAAACCCTATAAGCCGAACTGGACGGGTCCAATCTTGATCTCAACTTGAGACCAGTTGGACCCAAACAAAAACAACTTTTCATTTTCAAAAATTAACAACTAAAATTTGCATATGATATGAGTATTTATATTTATTAAATAAATTTTACATTGTATTTCCCATCAATATTATTTTATGATTTATCAATAATATCTTTATTTTAAAAATGTTACATCTAATAAATTTTAAAAATGTTAGGAAAACTAACTGAAGATACAGTTTTGTCATATGGGAGATGGGGCAGACAAGATCTGGATGCTTCACGGGTTGGCCAAACTTCATCTTCCTAGTAGTACTTGCACCAAGTCCAATAAAAAAAACCCAGGGGGTGGGGTTCCTTCTTGAGGACCCTCCGATGGTTGAGTTAAATGAATATCTTACTCATAAATGGAAGCTTAGAGCCGAAGTAGAGACGGAGTTACTTGTATCTTTTATATCTTTTTTGGGCCTCCTCGCCCCCCGTGCCCCTTTTATGATTGCTCTCATGTCTCTGTCTTTTCACCCTGTCTTATTGGCCGTAAGCCTACAACTTATTTGTAACTAGCTATGGCCGTGTTGTCATGTCGCAGAAATCGCAGAAGGGAAGGAGGTGGCTTGTATCTTCTTTTTGTCTAGCCACTGGGCCTAAGTTGGGTTAGGAATCATTTGGACGGCCCACTGGGCCACCTATTTGGGCCATACCCATCAGTAATCTCTCATTCCCGAGTGCAGCTTTAGTCCAATGAAGGAAAGTAAAAGTGTCTCGTTTGTTGCGTGATTGTGTTCTTCCACACCGACGAGCCATTGCTTGATCTAATGTGATGGTACTTGGTGATTTCGTGTGAATGGTGAGCTGTCTCGTTCTAGACCATGTCGGTGGACCTTCTTCAGAGTTCAATATTCTAGTCAGTCTTATAAGATATGGCCAGACCGTTGCGCACGTACACTTATATATCAACTGGGGTGCAATTGTGTGGATTAATTTGGCTTCAAAATTCCAACAACTTGGTCTCACTCGAGGTTGTAATTGATTTTTGGATGGAGCCCATGCAAGACAAGCTATGAAAGTAGCATATGCCAAGTTACAGTTTGCTTAGTCTCCGTTTGATGTTGATAGGATTCAAGCTGTTGATCAGGTGGGGATCTCCCACCTGATGGTCTTGCGCATGGTGGTCTTCTCTATGGAGGTCTTCCACATGGAAGTTTGCCATATGGAGGTCTTCAACATGGAGGTTTTCCACATTGAGGTCTTCCACATGGTGGTCTGTCTTCCGTATGGGGATCAGTCTCCCGCAAGGGTCGGTCTTCCGCTCAGCGGTCTACCTAATGGAGATCTCCTGTATGGTCTTCCACGTAGAGGTCTTCCACGTGGGGGTTTTTTGCATGGTGGTCTTCCGTGCAGTAGTCATCCTTATGGATGTCTTCTATAGGGGAGTTGGTCTCCCGCGGGGGTCGGTCTTCCGCTCAATGATCTACCTCATGAAGATCTCCTGCATGGTCATCCTTATGGATCCGTGTACTTGACAATGTTGACAGACTGCACTAGACAAAGTAGCATATTACATTACTGAAGTATCAAATGGAGAGGAATACAAAATAAACAACAGATTAATTCGTCAATAGGAAAAACAAAACAAGTTATAGAATATTACATGCAGATACGAGTGTACTTATGTATACCTTGTTATATTTAGCAAAGGAATAGTCACCTGTAGGAGGAACAACATTTACAACTCTGACCTGAGAAATATAAGAGCCACAAAAAAAGTTAATCAAATGCCTCACTGACTAATGATCCTTGGAAATGTACACAACACAGATAGAAAAACATACCCAGTGGTAAAGCTGCAAATTATCTTTTCGAGCTGAATTTGAAAAGGGAAGCCATTGCCAAGTAATCTGCAGGAAGAATCTAAGCTCTCTCATAAAATTATCCTAACTATAAGTAGAAAAGATATGGCCAGACCGTTGCGCACGTACACTTATATATCAACTGGGGTGCAATTGTGTGGATTAATTTGGCTTCAAAATTCCAACAACTTGGTCTCACTCGAGGTTGTAATTGATTTTTGGATGGAGCCCATGCAAGACAAGCTATGAAAGTAGCATATGCCAAGTTACAGTTTGCTTAGTCTCCGTTTGATGTTGATAGGATTCAAGCTGTTGATCAGGTGGGGATCTCCCACCTGATGGTCTTGCGCATGGTGGTCTTCTCTATGGAGGTCTTCCACATGGAAGTTTGCCATATGGAGGTCTTCAACATGGAGGTTTTCCACATTGAGGTCTTCCACATGGTGGTCTGTCTTCCGTATGGGGATCAGTCTCCCGCAAGGGTCGGTCTTCCGCTCAGCGGTCTACCTAATGGAGATCTCCTGTATGGTCTTCCACGTAGAGGTCTTCCACGTGGGGGTTTTTTGCATGGTGGTCTTCCGTGCAGTAGTCATCCTTATGGATGTCTTCTGTAGGGGAGTCGGTCTCCCGCGGGGGTCGGTCTTCCGCTCAATGATCTACCTCATGAAGATCTCCTGCATGGTCATCCTTATGGATCCGTGTACTTGACAATGTTGACAGACTGCACTAGACAAAGTAGCATATTACATTACTGAAGTATCAAATGGAGAGGAATACAAAATAAACAACAGATTAGTTCGTCAGTAGGAAAAACAAAACAAGTTATAGAATATTACATGCAGATACGAGTGTACTTATGTATACCTTGTTATATTTAGCAAAGGAATAGTCACCTGTAGGAGGAACAACATTTACAACTCTGACCTGAGAAATATAAGAGCCACAAAAAAAGTTAATCAAATGCCTCATTGACTAACGATCCTTGGAAATGTACACAACACAGATAGAAAAACATACCCAGTGGTAAGGCTGCAAATTTTCTTTTCAAGTTGAATTTGAAAAAGGAAGCCATTGCCAAGTAATCTGCAGGAAGAATCTAAGCTCTCTCATAAAATTATCCTAACTATAAGTAGAACTCAGAACTTAAAACACTAACATAACATGAAAAAGATAAACTTATAGTAAAGAAATGCCACCCAGACAATCAAAGGACAACACATAGTTATATTGCGTGTATATTCATTCATTCAGTCTTTGCTCTACATGAGCTTATAGGAGATGCGAACCAACTTACTCATTTGAGGTGAACACATAAGTTTCTCCACCACATGTTTATACATCAAAAAGATCAACTTGGTGTGATTTTCCATAAGCACGTTTAAGGAATCAAATTTATATTAAGCTTGAAGAATGGAATGACGCAGAACCAAATGCTTCAAATATAAGCAATATAATAGTCACATATAAGAATACCCAACCTTAACAAAGCAACATTTGGTCCTCTTAACACACAATACTGATTCGTTCTAAGCCCTAACTTCTTCTAAAACTTGTTTAAAACAAAAAAAAAAGAACAAAAAAGTTAAAAAAAAAAAAAAATAGGACTAACAACCCAACATGTTTCTATAATTATTCAACTAAATTTGAATATAGAGTAAGTTATACAATCACTAACTAACCTTCTCGTTCTCTGATTGAGTGCACCGCTTTAGTTGAGCAACATCAATGGAACGCATAAGAGAAGCCAAACCACCAGTAAGTGCGTAAACCTGAAATTCGAAAACACCCCCAATCAAGAAAATTCGAAACAATTGAGTGAAACGAGAGAGCAAAGTAGTTAAGTACCTCACCCGAAATGCCATCAGGTTTTCTCTGAGAATCTTTCTAGGGTCTGGACTTCTTTTCCTGGGGTAAAGGCAATGGAGTTTTGGGCAATCCCAAAATGTCCTTGGCATCCATATTCAAAATCCCTAAATTATTAGGGGTTTTATCTTTCACAGTCTTTTTCTTTTGGTCGTCAGATCAGAACACCAATAACTAAGATTTCATCGCCAAGAACACCACGCCGAACAATCAAAACCTTGAATTCCAAACGCACGAACAAAGAAATTACTAGGAATTGTTCAATCAATTTTTTTACGAACAAGGAAGGTTAGGGGTTTTTTTTTCGAGCGCCAAGTTTTGGTTTCGAAGCAAAGCAAATCGATCAGGAAACAAAAACAACTTTTCATTAACAATCTAACAGTTACGGTTCAAAAATTAACAACTAAAATTTGTACAAAATGCTCGCACATTTCCATATGATATGAGTATTTGTATTTATTAAATAAATTTTACATTGTATTCCCCATCAATATTATTTTATGATTTATCAATAATATCTTTATTTTAAAAATGTTACATTTAATAAATTTTAAAAATGTTAGAGATACTAACTGATGATGCACTTTTATCAGATGAGAGATGGGTCAGACAAGATCCGGATGCTCCACGGGTTGGCTGAACTTCGTCTTCCTAGTAGTACCTGCACCAAGTCCAGTAAGAAGGACCCAGGGGGTGGGGTTCCTTCTTGAGGACCCTCCAATGGTTAAGTTAGATGAATATCTTACTTATGAATGGAAGCTTAGAGCCGAAGTAGAGACAGAGTTACTTGTATCTTTCATACCTTTTTTGGACCTCCTCGCCCCTCGTGCCCCTTTCATGATTTTTCTCATGTCTCTGTCTTTTCACCCTGTCTTATTGGTCGTAAGCCTACGACTTATCTGTAACTAGCTATGGCCGTGTTGTCATGTTGCAGAAATCACAGAAGGGAATAAGGTGGCTTGTATCTTCTTTTTGTCTGGCCATTAGGCCTAAGTTGGGTTAGGAATCATTTGGACGGCCCACTGGGCCACCTATTTAGGCCATGTCCATCAGTAATCCCCCATTCCCAAGTGCAACTTTAGTCCAACGAAGGAAAGTAAAAGTGTCTCGTTTGTTACGTGATTGTGTTCTTACACACTGACGAGCCATTGCTTGATCTAATGTGATGGTACTTGGTGATTCCATGTGAATGGTGAGCTGTCTCGTTCTAGACCATGTCGGTGGACCTTCTTTAGAGTTCAATATTTTGGTCGGTCTTATAAGATGTGGCCGAACCGTTGCACACGTACACTTATAAATCAGCTATGGTGAAATTGTGTGGATTTATTTGGCTTCAAGATTCTAACAACTTGGTCCCACTCGAGGTAGTAATTGATTTTTGGGTGGAGCCCATGCAAGACAGGCCATGAAAGTAGCATATGCCTTACAGTTTGCTTAGTCTCCGTTTGATGTTGATGGGATTCAAGTTGTTGATCAGGTGGGGGTCTCCTACTTGATGGTCTTTCACATGGTTGGCTTCCGAATAGTGGTCTTCTATATGGAGGTCTCCCGCATGGAGGTTTGCCACATAGAGGTCTTCCGCATGGAGGGCTTTTGCATGGTGGTCTGTCTTCCGTATGGGGGTCGGTCTCCCGCGAGGGTGGTCTTCTGCGATGGTCGGTCGGTCTCCCGTAGGGGTCAGTCTTTCGCTCAACGATTTACCTCATGGAGATCTCATGTATGGTCTTCCACGTGGAGGTCTTCCACATGGGGGTCTTCCACACGGCGGTCTTCCGCACAGCGGTCATCCTTATGGATGTCTTCTGTAAGGGGGTCTCCCTTGGGGTTGGTCTGTTACGGCGGTCTTCCTTGGAAGTTGGTCTCTAGTAGTGTTAGTCTTCCACGGCAGTCGGTCTTCCGCTCAGCGGTCTATCTCATGGAGATCTCCTACATGGTCATCCTTATTGTAGACACCCTATTTTTGACCGCCCTTAAGACTTGGGTGCCACTGATCACTCGATGATGAAAGTTATGCTGTATAAACGGTTTATTTCTTCAGCAAGAAGAGCTTCTAAATCCCAACCTTATACCCCATTTTTTACCAAAACCATTTTGGCCAAAACTTTTTTATACCTTAAAACCCTTTCTTTCAAAATATTTTTCCAAGTGCTTCTACGATGTTCTAAGGCCCGCATTTCGTTCAAAAAGTTACACTTTTCGGTAAACTGAGCAAGAACAAAGTGGAAATACATGAAAGAGAGGTGAAATATTTGAAAAATCTTTCAAAACCTCTTATTTATAGGTTTGGAGTTGAAGAAAAATAGAGGAGAGGGAAGAAAACTAGTTGGGCTTGAAATCGTTAAGAGAGAACTGAGTAGCCTTCATTAAATTAGGCCTATCTTTGTGCACCTAGACTTTAGATGTGAGGCCACCACCATTGGAAAGTAGACTTCCGGGGCTTCACTTTACATTTAAGAATCTCCTAAAGCCGAGTCCAGATGAGGGAGATATGGCCGTTTGAATTTAGGCATCAATCCGATTAAGCTAGAAATGAGTAACCTTCACTAAAATAAGCATATCTCTTTGCACACTTAGAATTTAGATGTGGGGCGACCTCCATTGGAAAGTAGACTTCCGACGCTTGAATTTACACTCAAGAATGACCTAGAACCGAGTCTAGATGAAGGCGATATGCCCATTTGAAGTCGGGCCTAGAAGTAGATTTTTGGTGGCCGGCAGATGGCCGGCCAGACACCACTGGTGGCCGGAAATGCACACTTTTGGCCTACCGGCCACCTGCCGGCCACTAGTGTAAAACCCATATATTTTCTCCAGTTGTTTTCACAAAGTTCCAACTGTCCCTTAATTAGATATTTAGACCAAGGCTCTTTTTTTCTATATATAGAGTGCCTCTCTCTTGGTTTCAAAGGTTAGAAAAACTTAAAAAAGGTTAGGAAAATTTAGGGAGCAAAAATATTTCCTTTCTCTAAAAATCCTCTCTCTCTCTCTCTCTCTCTCTCACTTTTGTGCATACAGGTTTATATACACTTCAAGTTTGCCTATCAACTCTTAACCAAAGTTGCTTGTCTTTGGGATGAGGTTACTTGGGACCCTCTTTGAGCTCTAGAAGGTGGTATTGGCTTGATTTATTGCCTCATTTGTGTTTTGGCTTCAAGAGGTATAACACTTGTCTTTGCTAGCTTATTTTGTATACCTGTTTGGCCATCTTTTTGTACTATTTTTGCGCTGGTTTTGAACTGTAAAAAGCTCTATTTTTGTGGCCTAAAAGTGGTCGTTTAAGGCCATTTTAAGTTAGGGGTGTTTCACCCTTCTTCTTTCTTTGCTTGAAAAGCTTTTGTGCCTTTGTTCATCACTTTCAAACCAAAATTTTGGGGCCTTTTCAACACTGAATTTCAGAGGTTTTTCAGTGGTGGAAAACATGTTTTGAAGTCCAAAATTGGAGGGGTTAGCCTTCCCTCATTGTAGCTTATTTGCATGTTTAGTTAGCCTTATATGTTAGCATGTTTTTCTAGCATTTTATAGCCTAAGTCCAGCATGTTTTAGCCTTTGAAATAGACTGTTTTAACTCTGTTTTAGTCTGGTTAGTGCGTTTGAGTCCTATTTTGCATAGTTGTAGTGTAATAGTCCTCACAAGAATGGTGTTTTAGGGCCTTAGACACCTCTTGTTTGAGTTGATCGCATCTATTAGTGTTGTTTTGCACTCCATTTTAGCCCCTAAATCTCTGTAACCTCCCTTATTGCATTACTCTTTTATTTGCTTTGAGGGTTGTTTCAAGCTTGGGATCCTTTAAGCTTGAGATTGAGGCCATTCTTAATGGTTTAATCCTCTTTTGAGGGTTCATTATCAACAGCATGATCTCTCTCTTGCCTTACATAATCCTTTGGTTGACACTTCTTTCATCTTAAAGGACACTCACCAATGGACAAATTGATTAAAGGATGGTTTGGTGACTAAAATGTGTAAACAAAAATTGATAAGTAAAATTGAGCAAAATAAGAATGTTTGTGTTGCATTGCATGTGTTCAAATCAGACGTTAATTTGAACGCAAGGAAAATGGGA